GTCAAGGTGAGTTTGTAAGTAGAGGTAAATTTTTGGGGCTGGAGCTGGTCGTATCTCGAAATTTTCGTATGTAGGGGCGTTCATAAGTAGAGGTACCACTGTAGATGCTTTTCAATCCTGGTGTCTCAGTGAGGTTCACCTTATCTTACTTTTCAAAGACAAAGGGAAATGCCTTTCAAAAATTGTTTCTAAGCTTTTTAGATGTAATATTAATTATGCTGTCTCTGTTGATATTATGTGGCATCACTTTTCAATTGATATTTCAACTGTTTCATTATTTTAGTAAACCACCCTGGGCTTTGCACCGATTTAAAGGCAAATTTAAATAATAAATCCGGGAAAAGATTGTCCCTTTGATTTCGTAAGAGATTCTTCTAAATGGTGTTTGCCAATCAGAACTTATACAAGGAAAGTGGCTACTGAGCACGCTCCATCGAAACTGGGCTGTGGGATTATTATTATTGCGTTATTTTTCCCAAGCTCGTTTTTTCTCTCTTTTAAAACTGAAGTGGTGTGCCAGAGCTTAGGGTTCCAGTCACTAAATCACATTTTCTTCCTCTGTTTCCATTATCATCACCTACTCTTAAATCACTGCAAAGTTCTCACTGTGTGTTGCAAGAAAACAGCCAAGCTCAGAGAATCCCAAGGACTCCACAGTTCAACCCTGTGCTACATATATTTTCTTCTTTTGGTTTGTTTTTTCCCCAGGGCTATGCAGGGTTCTCTGAACTCAATATTTCTCAACCTCAGCAACTTTAAACTGTGTGAACTTCAACTCCCAGAATTCCCTGGCCAGCATGGGGGAATTCTGGGAGTTGAAGTCCACACAGCTTAAACGTTGCTGAGGTCGAGAAACACTAACTCAATGGATGCCTCCTCCCTTTGTAAGAGTTTCCGGGCGGATGCGTTGTTAGCCTTTCCACAAAGAGTGTTACCGCAACTTAAAGAGGAACAGAGTTGTAGCATAAACTTCCGTGAATCACAGTCCACTCTTTCTTGAAAACAGAAATACGAGCACACACCGCGAAAGGATCATTTCTGCAAGAAACACGCGGCACTCTCCTTCTGCAAAACTACCTATTGCAAAGGTCGCAGGAACGCCCTGCGTCTTTCTCTTTCGATTTCTTGCCTTGCAGCACTTTCCCCTTGCTTTTCCAGTCCGCCGCCTGGTTTCTCCCGACAACAACTTGCTCTTCAAGAGCCGAGCAAGGCGGAAAAAGCCGGGATTGGCCCTACGTCTACGCCAATCATCGCCCTACGGCCCCACAGCTCACCCAGCGGGGAATGTAACTCAGAGCTTGGGAAGCGCCCGCGGGAGGAGTTTCTCTGGAGAGTCGTAAGCGGCCGCTGCCTTTCGCTCCCGTTGCCTCTGCGCCCTTGTCGCCGGCTCCTGTAGGATGAGGAGGGTGCTTCGAGGTTCCTTTTCCACCTGCTGGGTGGCTCTGATGGTCGCCACCTTGTGCTGCTGCGCGCACAGAGCAGCTTCTTCAGGTAACCAACCTGGCAGGTCGCTGCGCTCTGGCTGGCCCTCAGTCTGGGGAGCGACGGCTGAGCCCCGAGGGAAAGCGAAGGAAAGGGGCTTGGAGAAGGAACAACCTGGCGTCCCTGAAGGCCACCCCGCAGCTGCGCAACCGGAGGGCTGTGGCGTGGATGCACCCAGCGGGTGGGAAGGTGGGGAGACGAGGGAAATCCTCGTTTAAACTTGTTGGGGGCTGCTGGCGACGAGGGTGAGTGGATGGCTTTGGAGAGATGCGCGGGGGGGGCTCGCACCCTCGCCCCCTTCCCC